GACATAACCACCCACCTTGAGTTTTGAGACTAGCAAGACATTGGTGTCAGGGCCGACAGTAAAATAAATGGGTTATAATGCCATTCCTAAATCGGCTGGACACTGAGTGAAATCTTTTTGTAGGTGTACGAATTTCAGGATTATCTTTGAATTCCAGTCTATATCAAGGGAGATAAAAAGCAAGTTGGACAGCACTGTTAAAATCTTACATGATTGATTGATACATGTACTACTACCACACCCTATGCTACGTTTTGCAGACTTAGTATTCAGTATGTTCAGGTTTTTAACATTTTATCCACCTCTGCTGGGAACAGCAATTTTTCCTTGATCAACAAAGCTCCTCTCTGCTTCTTTTGATCCGCCAGTATCCCCTCTCTCCGACGACTTCACCTCAACCTGTCACTGCAGAATACATGACGTACTGGCAAGCTATCGTGTAGAGAGTAGTGGGACAATGGGGTTTTGACTGTATGCTGCAGGGGAGCATTGCGCAGTTCAGGGCATGCTTTTTGATAATTAATGAATGGCCCAAAACACGGATCTCCATAGCTGCCAAGTTTTCAAAATTAAAAAACAGACTTTCATCGCAGTCGGAGAAAGAGACCAGTTCTTACTTCAAAAAGATACCAAAAGACAACTTGTACTCAAATGATAAGCCCACCACAGACACATGCATGCTGTGCAGCCAGATTGATAAGATGGCAAAGATGTCTGGCTGGGACTCCCTAAGCTTTGTTATAACTCCATTGTTTTGTCCTATCATCACTGGAGCATTGTCTGAACTCAGAGAGGTGCAGTGCATAAAGGGAACACCAAAGGTTTCTAATTCTCTCAATACAAGTTCTCCTATGTTAACACCACTTGACGGACCATTGTCATTGAGGACGTCGGCACACCTTGTTTGTAGAAAGCATGTTTGTTTGATAACTTCGATGCAGTGATGAAGTTGAATTCCTCTGAATACTTGGCACAGAAGGTGTGTTCGCGAGGTTTTGCCTTACAACTGGTTGGTTTTAAAAACGCATCCATCACTTGAAAGCACAACGCGCGTCCGTGATCAAAGAAATAGTTTTAGCTCCTGCATGCAATCATCACTAAGGCTGCCCGCAACACCCACACACACACACGATGACCCGTGACCCGATGTGAACGAAGGAGAAACAAAGAAGACCCGTAGGCAGACCTGCCACTCAATGAAATCTAAAAATCAGGATTTTAGAGTAAGAAAATCAGGATCTAGAGTCTAGATCTAGTGAAAAAAATCGGGGTCAACGGCAAATCAGTCATAAGCGGCACTGGGGGAAAGGGGGTGGGGGTGGTCCCGGTTCTTTATGAGGCAAGTATGCAAGACAAAGCTTTTTGAAAACTGAAAGACAGCATTATTATATGTTACTCGAATCGGAGTTGGATAGACTGGGGGAGCGCAGGTAGCACTAAAGCTGAAACTCTCGTAGTCTTGAAAATAGCTGACACATAACTCCTATTATCCAGGGGAAAAGTCCGCTTTTTCGTACAGTAACAACGTTTGACTTCCATCGCATATATACACTCAAGGTACCCCCACCCCCTCCCCGGAAAAAATCGCGCCAAGGTTTTTCATTTATTTTTTTCTTATTATTCCTTTCCCCTCAATTAGTCTGGATCACGGCACGCACTTTAAGCCCAAGTGTCAAAAAATACCCCCCCCCCCCACTGGTTAAAAGTCCCGGAAAACACCTCGATCATTGCGACCGGTGTGAATGAACTTTGTTGACCCCGACAGCCGACGGTCTCAGACACACGCGCTACTCACCACACGTACGAGGTCAGCGAAAGTAGATCTTGAGCGTATTCAAGTGGGAATTCAAAATTGATACTACTACGTCGATTTTAGTAGAAATAACGAGCGTGAGTCAACTACTAGATTCGGCATAGATCTAGATGCTTTAGAAAATAGCGTTCCAAGTTCCAGCGGATAAAAAGTCCAATCGGTGCTTCCAAGCAAAAGAGATTGCAGAACTTTTTATATTTTTTTCTAAGAATCGGACGCAACAGACACAACGACAAAAAAAAAATCAGGATACTGGCGATCGAAATCGGGAAAATCGGGATGCTTGAGATTTGGGGCAAAAAAAAATAAAATCGTGATGAGTGGCAGGTCTGCGTAGGTTACTTCCCGCTTTAATAGCGCATGCTCAATAACAAAGAAATACAGAAGGGGCACCACTCGCGGAAGGAGGTCAACTTCCAGTTTAATTGCAGGGACACTACTCTCGTCGTCTTGTTGACTCCCGTACTTCGCCTATCCGGTCATAAATTTTCTAATTTTTCTTGCTTGAAGCCAGTTTGTATTGAAACTAAGAGGAGAAAAGTTGAAAACGTATTTTCCAATGCCAAAACGGATTTCCGTACTCAAACCAAAAAATCGTACTAAATACGTATTTTACGTACTACTTGGCAGCTATGGATCTCTATGTCAATGTGTAGAACTGTACTGAAAAAGAAACTTCCTTTTCATATACTCAGAGGCATAGGAAGAGCGAAATTTTCATCGTCGTAAAAACGGTAGTTAAAATTTCTATTGGTGAGTAGGCCTACTCACTACTTAAAAGTTAATAAATATGTCCGAATGAAACATGGTCTGAACCTATTAGATAGCCGTCATTCGAACAATGCAATGCATTGGTTGTTTATGCAACAAACAACCAAACAAGTAACATGGCTCATAGGTACTTTTCACACTGTTGAGTTATGAGTTTGTGTTCATTAGGCCGAGGTCACATAAGCCTGACCTATAAATTTGAAGTTGAAGCCTCAGAATGGAATTCAGTTGGAAACGAAAGCAGTATCAAGATGCCGAAATTTCCGTCAGAAAACCATGAGAGAGCTACAGTATTGGTTGACTACATGCTGGAGAGTCAGCTCTACATATAATATATGGCAACTGTTACAGGCGCGCATGTCTCCATCGTACACAGAATACAGAACCAGTTTCAAGCCACCATAAGGGCCATCAGATCGCCCCCGAGTGGAAGACCAAAGGCAACAACAGCAGCTCAGTATCTCCTCATAGTGCGCCAATACCGGATTAATACCTTCCTGACAACCAGGAACATCATCGGATTAAGGGGATAATAAGGGAGTAGTACCAGAACTGTACTGTATGACGGAGATTGCACTCCACATGCCTCTGGTCTGTCCCCGTAGAATTATGTGAATTTAGATGGCCAAATTATGCCCAAAAAAAGCCAAATTATGCAAAAATTATGCAAGTTACCGTAACACCTTTCGCGACATGTTTTGCACTTTTTCAACACAAATTTTCATGACTTTTATGTTTTAAGTATGCCTACAGAGAAATTTAAAACAGAACATATCAGTATCAGTAATTTGTAGTGTATTTGGAAAGAAAACAATACACATCTGTAAAAAAAAAAAAAAAAAACTAAAAAATATAATCTCTGTAACTTTCAGCTGTAATCTATCTAAATCTAGATTATTATCTAGATCTAGATCTGGGAAAGAAAATTGTATTTAAAAAAAGAAAAAAAAAGGACATCTGGACCTCTGATGCTGGCACATTACTAAAACCAGGAACACCTGTCAAACATGAAGCATCAGCAGACATGAGAACAACAACTTCTGATGGATTGAAAAATTGAACATTCTCAAAAGGAACAAAATCCCAAACCATAACCAAGATGTTCTACCAAGGGAAATAACCAACTTTTCACTTAAATAAGACTTATTACGGTGATTATTTCCCTTTAGTCACATGGCGAGGCGTTAATTAACAAAATTAATTGTTTTGTTTACAAAAAAGGGGAAAAAACGTGAAAAACGCGGGGAATCCAAAATTATGCAAATGTGCAAAATTACGCGAAAAAAACGCGGCCGCACAATCGCATAATCCTACGGGGACAGTCTGGTACAGAGGTCTGCATCACAGACCAGTTCTGACCCCTCAGCACGGCAGTGTGTAAATTAGACGAATCAAAATGTTATTTCCACATGATGAACCCTTGTTGAGTTTAGTGTTTTGTTCATGCTTTAGTTATTCGCATCTTTTACCTCTGAGTTTATTTGCATTGATAAGTGCACCAAACACAAGCCTGAATTTGTCAATTATGACAAAATGTTGCGAACATCTCATTCTGAAAAAACTTTAAGCAGCTTTTAAAAGTTCAACAACATTTTCCTTCATCTAGGTAGCCTAGTTTTTAAAAAAAAAGAAAGAAAATCAAGTAGCCTACTAAATCAAACTAAGGATAGGTAAAGACTCATAATCATAAAAAATGTTTACACACGATGTATTCACAGTAGGCCTACAGTGCAGCATAAAAAATATGTAACATGAACACAGAGTAGAGAACTTGAAATCATGAATAGCTCATACAATTTGCTATTCCCGACTGACATCTCTCTTTAATTTTTCACAGTTAACCTGAATTTTGGACATGTCAAACACATTGTTAATCCCTGATGTGTTTGAGTTATCCGTGCCTGACTGTAGAATGAATCAAAAGTTAACTAACAACTAATAATCACTCAGCACTCTTTCAAAAACTCAAATATTTTCAACATTGCATTCTATC